GGGCACAGGCTGGGCTGGGGGACCCCCCTCCCCCCGCCCCCCGAGTGCACAAATTTTTGTGCACCGGGCCTCTAGTATACTATAATAGTATATTCACCAAGATTATTTGTTACAAGATAAAATGAACAAAAAAAAAAACTTCTTTTCTTCAATAATGCTGATACATGTCCCTTGTTTAATGTTGACTTTTCAAAATAGCCCAATTTTTTCTCTTAAAGGCTAATAAAAATCATGCTAATATGTACATGCTAACTTTCTTTGCTGCCCTTATAATAAGATTTCGACGTTGTCAAAGCTATCACTTTAAAAGCACTTCAAGATTCTAAAATTAGGAGACAGTGAAATGTCAGACTGTGAAAATGGAGACTGAGGACCAAGAAATGTACTGCACAATTCCAAATCATGGAATTAAAAATGCCAGAAAGTTTCATCAAATTCAGTGTAGCACTAGCCTACCAATTCTTTATAATCACCAAGGGGTCGCCTTGATTAAAAGTAAGAATATCAGTCATTCGTACAACTTACTGTTTCCCTCCTGGTCAGTTTTATTCCTAGTCCCAATTATTTACCGCACACACACACACACACACACACACACACACACTCCTTTCCTGGTCAGCTGAGCATCATACAAACGCACAATCACATGTAAGAGGAATGAGAGTCCCGTGCAGGCCTGAAGTTCACATCTGCTTCAGAGCCGCCACCAGGACACATGGACAGCAGGGCACTTTCCTCGGGAGCAATTCTAATAGGCTCCCCCGAATCCACCAATCCTCACTGCCATGTAACGATTTTCTTGGATGTATATAAAATGGATAAATGAGCGTGACTGTATCAATCAAAATAGATATCATACTTTTATTTTTTTCTAAGTATGTTTTTATTGATTTCAGAGAAAAAAAGGGAGAGGGGTCAGTGAAATATTAATGATGAGAGAGAATCATTGATCAGCTGCCTCCTGCAAGCCCCCCACTGGGGATCAAGCCCCCAACCTGGGCATGTGCCCCAACCGGTAATCAAACCGTGACCTCCTGGTTCATGGATCGACGCTCAACCACTGACCCACACAGGCCGGGCAAAATACATATAATACTTTTAAATATTTTGTGTGTGTGTGTAATTGGAAAGACATGTTCTTGATTGGGCCTAGAACACTATGGGTCATGTGACAAAAGTAGTATAGGTTTGTTTAATTACCTTCCACCCAAGTTTAAGCTCTGCACCAGACTCTGTCTGGGAACGCCCTACTTGAGGGTGGTCAAGGTGAAACCAGCCACCCACACAGGCTGGGCAAAATAGATATAATACTTTTAAATATTTTGTGTGTGTGTGTGTGTAATTGAAAAGACATGTTCTTGATTGGACCTAGGACACTATGGGTCAAGTGACAAAAGTAGTATAGGTTTGTTTAATTACCTTCCACCCAAGTTTAAGCTCTGGACCAGACTCTGTCTGGGAACGCCCTACTTGAGGGTGGTCAAGGTGAAACCAGCCACTTGGGCTTCTAGAAGCCCTTTCTACTCCTCCAGGTGTGCCTCCCTCAGGAAAAACACAGTGGCATGGACTCAGTGGCCACATTTGCAGATGTGGGATGCAGGGTCCCCGGAAGTTGTCCAAATTGCCGGCATGTGCACACTGTGAGGACTCCCCCACGCGCCCTTAGATTGGAGTTTCGGGCACAAAAAATGTGGATGGCTCTGCAGACATAGGAGGGAAGGAAAAGCCCCATCCCTACCTGCAAGTGCCCTCCAGGTTTGCTGCCCTGTGGGGTAGTGTTTGCAACAAACCAAATGCCAATAGCACCCCAAAGTAGAGGGATGCCCAATGGCAAAGGAGCCCCATCCCTGCCCACAGCCCAGCTGGAGAGCCAGCAGCCCCTGTGCCCTGCAGAGCCATGGCATCCAGGGGAATGGAAACAGCTCCAGGACAGTGGCGCCGAGAGCTCTGTCAGAGGAAAGCGGATTAATCAACTTGATATCTCCTACACTGATTAAACAATGAGGCATCCTGGGGTTCTGCTGTCTGTCCCGATGAGCACTCATCAGCCTAATGTGCCAACCCGCACAGCTCCCGCGGGAGCAAACTACCTTTTAATTTTTCCCTCTAAAGATTAATTCCATTGTTTTGGAACCTGTGCTAGAAGCACTGTAAACTAATCATTAGTCATTTTCAAACAATCTGACCTTCCCTGCCACAAATCGTGGAGTGTTTTCCAAGAGGTCCTTTTTGGGGTTCTGGGGACTTGCATCCCTAGGGGTCGGAAAGAAGAGTTGAAAATAAACAATAACATGTTTGCCTTGTAACTTCAGCAAAGGGGGGCATTCACTGAAATGGCTTCTTTCTCATGTGAGTGACCTTTTTTGACTTTTTGTATTTTAATAGCTGAGGAGGCAAAACTGAGAGCAATGCTTTTGTTCCAGCCCCACTACACCTGCCAAGGGACAGGAGAGGTCAGCCAAGAACGGGCTGCCTGCAGGAGCCAGGACCTCGCTCATGCATCCCCTAGCCTAGTCAGTGCTCCCTAAACCTTTCCAGGTAAGTATGCTGATTAGTGTCCTAGGGCCGTCTAACAAAGTACCATTACAGTCACTTACACAACAGAACCTAATTCTCTCACAGCCCTGGAGGCAGATGTCCCAGATCAAGGTGTGGGCAGGGCCGGCTCCCTCTGCAGGTGCGAGGGGAGGATCTATCCAGGCCTCACCTAGGCTTCTGGTGGTTCCTTGGCTTGTGGCAGCACAACCCCAGTCTTCCCATGGTGTTCCCCGCTGTGGTCGCTTCTCTGTGTCCAATGTTTCCCTTTTATAAGGACACTAGTCCTTGGAAGGGGACCACCCTTCCCCAGCATGACCTCATCTTAACTAATTACATCTGCATCCACCCTATTTCCAAATGGTCACATTCTGAAGTTCTGGTGTTAAGGCTTCAACATAAGAGTTTGGGTGGGACAGTTTGAAAGCATGCAGTATGATTAGAATTATGGGACAGGTGAGATGATTAGAGTCCAGAGAGGTTGAGGAACACAGTCAGTATTGTAGAGCCTCTCAGGGCTAGAGTAGACTCTGAAACAGATTGGGCTTACGTGAAAGGTTAGGCAGCGGTTCTCAACCTGTGGGTCGCGACCCCTTTGGGGGTCGAACAACCCTTTCACAGGGGTCGCCTAAATACATCCTGCATATCAGATATTTACATTACGATTCATAACAGTAGCAAAATTACAGTTATGAAGTAGCAACGAAAATAATTTTATGGTTGGGGGTCACCACAACATGAGGACTGTATTAAAGGGTCGTGACATTAGGAAGGTTGAGAACCATTGGTAGAGCCTTCTGAAATCCTTTACTTTTCAAAACTCTAAACTTCGCCTCATAAAAAAGCCACAGGCAGGCACTGGAGCAGGATATGAGCTGAGTCTAATGCAGAAGAAACATCAAACTCCAGAACCTCGTGTCCCCTGGCGTGAGACCTCTGAAGACAAAGGTGAAGAATTGTGGACCTCCAGCATCAGCCTACCAACGGAAGCCTTTCTAGTCTTATCTGGTCCCCAATCAAATGTGTTTCTTCTTTTTGGGAACCTTCCTGTCCTACGGGACATCATATAACTGGCGTACTGAAATCAGTGTGTGTGTGTGTGTGTGTGTGTGTGTTTTATTTGTCCCTCACTCTCTCCCCAGAAATTGGAAACATCTCCAGGAGCTTAAGATTTTCCCACAGTACTAAGCATCATGAAGTCTAGAAAGCCACTGCTGACCAAATGATGCTTCAACCAACTGAAAATTATTATTAGTCAGAATTAAGTCTTTAATAATTCATGTTCCCACTACTAAGAGAAACGAGAAATATGGTCTCTAAGCTTATTGCCGTTTCTGAAAATTTTATGCCAGAAAATTCTTCCATACCCATAGCTAAAAGAACTTAAGATTATATTAAGAATAATAGTTTATTGGCTTTCAGTCAACTTCACACATACACACACACACACACACACACATACACACACACTTTTTAACTTTGCTCAGGGGTATTTCAGAGTTTCTGATCAGAGTTCTGAGCCTGGCTTCAAGGCCCTCCATGTGCTGGCCTCAGACCCTCTCTATCCACACTCATTCTGATCCTCTTGTACCCACTTCTAGTGCTCTGCTGAGGCTCACCACAGCGTGATGTGTTTTCCTAAGCAAGCATCATCTCTTCCACCTCCGAATCACGTTTCTCCCATTTATTTTGCTTGGAAAGCTTTTCCCCTTTCTTCTTGCCAGTCCAGGGACATCCATCTGCTAATACATTTCAAGTATTTAATACAAAGGCTAATATTCTTAATAAATAAAGATCTTTTATAAACCAACTAGTGGCCCTGTGCACGAAATTTGTGCAGGGGGGGGTTGTCCTTCAGCCCGGCCTACACCCTCTCCAATCTGGGATCCCTCAGGGGATGTCCGACTGCCGGTTTAGGCCCGATCCCTGTGGTCCCGCGGCTCCATGCGGCGTGGAGGAGGCCTGTCCTGGCGTCTCCGCTGCCCTGCACAGAGGAGGCGGGTTGTGGCAGGGAAGGGCAGTGATGGGTGATCAGGCCGGCAGGGGAGGGCAGTTGGGGGCGATCAGGCCGGCAGGGGAGGGGCGTTGGGGGTGATTGGGCTGGCAGGGAGCATCCCTCTCATAATCCGGACCACTGGCTCCTAACCACTCACCTGCCTGCCAGCCTGATCACCCCCTAACCACTCCCCTGCCAGCCTGACTGACGCCTAACTGCTCCCTGCCGGCCCAATCACCCCCAACTGCCCTCCCCTGCTGGCCTGATCGCCCATAACTGCCCTTCCCTGCCATGACCCGCCTCCTCCACTGGGACCCGCCTCCTCCGCTGGGACCCACCTCCTCCACGCCACGTGGAGCCGTAGGGCCTTCAGGCCTCACTGCATGGAGTGGCCACTGGACCCCACCTCTGCTGTATGCGCGGCCATCTTGTGGTGGCCATCTTGTGGCAGCCATCTTGTGGCAACATCACGCGCGATGGGCCACATAGGCTTTTATTAGTATAGATAATAAAACACCAGGATAAATGAACTAAAAGTGTGAAAAGGAAATTCAGGTAAGAAGAAGAGAAAATGAGGAAGAGGTGGAGAAGGAGAAAGAGAAGGAAGAAAGAGAAGAGGGCAAAATATCTAAGTAACATATGAAACAACACTCAGTAGTAATCAAATAAATACAAACAGGTGGTGAATTTTCACCTATCAAATTATCTAAATGTTCTTAGTGAGCAATAGACACCAGGCTATTCTACTGGTGACAGCATAAACCTGTGCACTGAGGAGGCCATTTAGTAAGTAGTATGCTAGAAAAAACCTTTAACATGGACATGCCCACTGATGCAATGACTCTGAGAATTGATCCAAAGGAAATAACTAAGAATGTGCAAAATGATTAGAACCAAGGTATTCATCACTGTCTGATTATTCTAGCAAAAATGGAAAAACTCAACATAAGGACACATGTAAGTAATTGTTTTATAGCTTCATAACAGAATAGTTTGCAGTCATTTAAAATGATGCTGCAGAAATAAATTTGTACACATGGTGGGAATCAATATGCTATTAGGAGAAAAAGGCAGATTATAAAACTTTATGAATGTTATAATCATATTACTAGATATATATACTCTTAGCACAGTGCCTGATACATACTAAGTAGCTCATACATAGGCAATAAACATTGATTAAAGTAATGCAGGGAGGGGAGGGGCAGAGGGACCGGGCTTCTGAAAAGATGCAGACCAAAGTGCTAATAGCTTTGTCTCTTGGTTAGACATATATGATCATTTTCAGTCTATTCTTTTCATACTTGTTTATATTTTCTGGTTTGGGGTTAATAGCTATGCCTAATCTTGTTAGATAAAATAACAGCAGGTATTAAATGAAAATATAACATAAATTCTACCCACCATTCAAAACCCACCTAAAATTTTAGTCTCTCTCATGAAAACTTTACACACTTCCTGCAGCCTTCTGTTCATTCTCTTTATATAAAAACACATGTACATCTCTTCTATGAATGAGTTTCATTAAGCTCCAGAATAAGAAGAGCATCCATGTAACTGTCTGAACATTTGCTACTGCACCCAAGACCAGGGGCTCCTGAGAGCAAAGACTATACTTGGTGCAGGGTTTGCACCAAGAAAGTATGCAGCCAGCCCTCTTGGAAATCAGTCTCTAACTCCCATCTGCATTTACCAGGGAGGCTGAGGCAGATGCAGGAATTACTGTGAGAGACTTCACACAGTTCATTCTGGGTACAGCCAGAGAGAAGACAGTTGGAGGGACAAAGAAAAGCTTTCATGAAGCACTTAGGAATCCATTACACAAACCTGTGACATATCCACAATCTCTTTGAGGTGGGAACTCAGCAGACACCTCACTAAATGAAATATCTCATTTTCATTCATGTGAGAAGGGGTCAGAGCTGATGAAATTGGCTTAGAACAGAGTGGTCCCTAGATTTCAGAGTTCAGAGACACAAAAATGCCTACTTAACAGACTTCTTCTTACTGCTTCTGTTAAACCTAGAGAAAACTTTGTAGAGTTTTTCTTTTTCTCATAAAATAAATTATCAATAGTTAAACCAAAAGGACCAATCTTTCCTGAAGGATAATTAATGTCTTTTGCTCAAAACAAAATTACACACCAAATCCACCACATAGCATCTGATCTAATTCTTGGTGAGGAGAAAACCTACACAGAACCATAACAAGGTCAAGGTCAGCACATCTGCTGAGGTCTGAGCACCGGCACATCTCCCAAGCACTAGAAGCTAATCAGAGCTGCAGTCAAAAACATAATTTGCAAATCTCTATCTGCTAATGGAACAGGAAACGGAAAAAAGTCATCTGTTTTTCCTGTACTATGCCTTCTAAGCATTTAAAATTTTTATTAAAATGAATTTCACATCATGTAATGTAAACCATTTTAAAGTGAACAATTTAACAGCATTTAGTATATTCGCAACGTTGTGCAACCACCACTTTTATCAAATTTCAAGACCCCAAAAGCAAATCCTGTACCCATTCAATGGTTTCTCCTCATTCCCCTTACGCCCAGCCCCTGGCAAACACCAATCTGCTTTCTGTCTCTAGATTTGCTTGTCCTGGATATTCACATAAATGGGATCATACAATGTGTAATCTTTTGTGCCAACCTTCTCTCATGGAGCATGTTTGCAAGGTTCATCCATATTATAGCATCTGCCAGTGCTTCATTCTTTTTTCTGGCTGAGTAACACCCCATTGAAGGATTGACCGCATGTTGTTTATCTGTCATCTGCTGATGGACATTCAAGCTGTTTCCACCGCTTGGCCATTGTGGACAGTGCTGTGATGAACATGTGTCTACATGTGTTCAGTACATGCACTTGAGCACTTAATTTCAGCTATTTGGGGTATATGCCTAGGAGCAGAATTGCTGGGTCCTATGATCAATCTGTGATCAACTTTTTGAGGAACCCAAGCATATTTTATATGTTACTGAAATAATATCATTGTATTCCACAGATAACTATTAAGTGTAATTACTGGGCCATAAAGTGAAATGCCTTCTACTTGTTACAAGAGTCCTTTTCATCTTTAGGTTGCTTTGTTGATTTAAAAAGCAGCTTCTTTAGCTTTTTCTCTTTGCTTTCCATGAAGGTTTGGATAAAGCTGAAATTTTCTCTTCATTAATATCCCTGACCTTGAGAACACCTCAAAATATAAATGGAAAGGCCGTGGGAAGACAGGTTATGTGTAAGTTGGTCTAGCGACAGGTGTTCTTTGTTACAATCACAACTTCCAGGTTCCATTCTTAAAAGGCCCCTCCAAGGCTCGAGTTATTTGGGAAGATGATCCCATGGCCAGCAGAGTCAGGGCCAGAGGCTTTGACCCTGGAAAATCTGGGCTTGGCATCTACAACATCCAGACTTTCCATTTTGAGCCTCATACCAGCACCACAATCCACCATGGTAGATTCCACCCAAAGTAGTGGCCCTTAGCCTGTCCCCCTCCCCTACTGTGTTTGGAGCCTCAGCCATGCAGCAGGTGAGCACCCTCATTCTGTGGGGCATTGTGTTACCAACTCTAGGCACACAGACTTAGTGTTCAACCATTGATTAAAATAAATTGGATTTGGAGGGAGTTAGCAATTCTCTCTCTGCATTTATTAATTAATTAATTTATTTATTTATTTATTTATATCTTTTTATTGATTTCAGAGAGGAAGGGAGAGGGCGAGAGAGATAGAAACATCAACGTTGAGAGAGAATCCTTGATCAGTTGCCTCCTGCACGCCCCACACTGGGGATCGAGCCGGCCACCCGGGCATGTGCCCTGACCAGGAATCGAACTGTGACCTCCTGGTTCATAGGTTGACACTCCTCCACTGAGCCACGCCGGCCGGGCTATTATGGCTTTCATACCTTGTAGGTTCTGACAGTAGTAGCAACAGCTGCCTCTTACTTCCCCACGCCCTACGGAGCTGTCATATGCCTACTCCTGCGGAGCCTCCCGGTCCGTAACGTTCCATATGCCCGAGAAGTGGTCAGGATTTATCAGGGTGACTCAGGGCCTCTGGTTTGCAATGTGCCTGCCAGCGCCAACATTCTGTGAGTTTATTGCTTCCTCGTTTTTTTATTGGCCCCTAATGTGTGCCACATCCAACCCGAGCACCTGGGAACTCATAAGGTCTAAGACGCAGGTTGGGGATCGAGCCTACAACCTGGGCATGTGCCCTTGACTAGAATCAAACCTGGGACCCTTCAGTCTGCAGGCCGATGCTCTATCCACTGAGCCAAACCAGCTAGGGCATCTCTCTGCATTTAAAAGTGGCTCGTACCTTTGAGCCACTTCTAGGAATTCATCTGCACATGTACATTGGGCAAAGATATTTACTGCAGCATCTTATAGAGTCATAAAGTTCAATAAACAAAGTTTTGTGTCAGTTCTGCAGCGTACAGCACCCTCTCCCATTGGCCAGGGGACAGGCTGCAGGAGCAGGCACTGGAGGTGCCAGGACACACTTCCTAGGATGCACGCCTGGAACCACAAGGGCCGAGGCAGCTGGGTGGGAGTGGCAGGAGTCACCTTAGGACCCAGGCAGTGGATACTCCTGCATTGTACAAAAGCATTGGAAAATGCTAGATAGGTGTGGGTGTACCATGCATATCAGATTAAACTTAGCTGTGAGGAAGATCAGATAAAATAACTGTGTGTGCTGATAAGAAATTATCTCTAAGAGATTTTACATAAGGTACAAAACAGTATTCATGATTTATCTTTAAAATGCTCACATAGACATATAGAATTGAATATATAAATTATACATATATAACATTGTATGTGTATTATATATATCCAATTATAGATTGATGGATGTACATACAGTATCTATATATATAAAAGCCTAAGTGAGCCCTAACCAGTTTGGCTCAGTGGATAGAGTGTCAGCCTGCGAACCCAAGGGTCCCATGTTTGAGTTCGGTCAAGGGCATGTACCTTGGTTGCGGGCACATCCCCAGTAGGGAGTGTGCAGGAGGCAGCTGAT